GGTCCGGGTGCTGCCTGTTGCGATAAAGTTTTCATGGGCACCTGCTGGCCCCTACAGCTGAAGAGCTGACCCAGCCTCACTTTGGCTTGCTCTGGCCCTCAGACCCCTCCAGTCTCACCACGTCTCCATTCAGCCTTGGGTGATGGGCTCACCTCACCACTGGCCATGGCAGCACTGTGACAGGCCCACCAGTTCCAACTCTGCCACCTTACTCGTGCCCTGTGGAGCACGCAGGAACTCCTAGATCCTCTCCAGGCCTCTGGGAGCTGAGGGAGGCTTGGTGGTGCTCGCTCGAACCTTCTTGCCATCAAACCTGGAGCGCCACCATTTTTATCCAGCAGGGCCACCTAAGGGGCACAGGCTGCCAGGAGACTGCCTTCCACATGCCGCCTCTATTTTCAGCTTTCAGTTTTTATCCCCTCAAGAGTGCATCCCAGAGGATGAGACCAGAACACATGAAAGATTCGTCCCCTTCTTTTTCTCACCGCTCACCAGCTGACGGTGAGCTTTCCTCCCTTCTCCATCTCCCCTTCCCCTGCCTGAGATGGCATTCACCCACCCCGCCCTTCCCCAGGGTCATTGTGGTGGAGTAGCTTCAGAGGAATATAATTTCAGGGATGAGGAGATGAGAATTATATTGACTTAATATTTACAAAGTATTAACATCATTACATTCATTCAGCAAAAAGTTACCGAGCACTTGCTGTGTGCACAGTGCCCGGACTGAGGACACAGCAGTGCCCTGCCCTGTGGTGACCGAGGCCCTGTCCTCATGGAGCTGACCGTCTAATGCAGGAGCCAGATAATCAACGAGAGAAATTATAGAAGCAAGCAAGCAGGACAAGAGGCTAGACCAAGGCGGTGCTCTGTTAGCTGGGGGGGGGGGCAGGGGGTAGTCAAAGGAGTCCCCAAAGGGGTGACCGTGGGACAGGAGCAGGTCATTCCCCTTTCCCGATAATCAGAGGGTTTTAAAGCATACACCTCAGAGACCTTGAGAGCCAGGTCAAACATGAAGCCCCTGCCTCTGCAACAGTAGCCTGGACAGCATGTGAGGACAGCTACACGCTGGGGGTTTGAGGCCCCAGAGCCATCAGAGTCTCCCTTGGGAGGGACTCCCGTGCTCAGGACAGGGGATGCCTGCCTGGACATGGTGAGCCTGTTTCTTGGGCCCTCTGTTCCAGCAGTGACCTGCGCCCCCTGACTCCATCTGGGAGTGGGGACCAAGAGGTTTCCCCCCACATACACGTCTCCGGGCTCAGCGTCCTCAGTGCCGAGTGACAGAGAACAGGCAGCTCTTGAAAAGACTAATATTTACTCTTCACATGGGGGCTGGCACAGGCCATTTCCTGCGACTGGCCCGCCCCGCGGGGTGGACACAACAGGAGGCACATGAGGAGATAGGCAGATGTCCCCGCAGACACCAGCATCCCGGCCGAGACAATGTCTTCGGGATGGGGACAGCGTGTTCCAAGGTCCCACCCAACCCGTCTTCGCTCTGCTTGTACACCTTCAGGGCGGGGTGCTGGCTGTCTCCCACGCCCCGCGAGACAGCTCCGTAAGGACGTTCAGCCCTAGTTGGCCCTGTGTTCCTTGCCCCTGGCCCCTGCTCTGATCCCCGGGGCCTCAGAAAATATGCCCGGAACCACGCCCCCTCAGGGCAATGGCGGTCCTGGTCACCTTCACCCCTCCCACCCCCAGGCCCCTTCGCTTCACTTCCCCAGGCTCACACTCCCGGTTCTGGGGCCAGAACAGGCTATTTCTAGGGCAGAGGAAGGCCTTGCGTTGGGGGCACCTCTGTCCCCCGCAGCTGTGTTCCTTGTCCCTGTGACAGCCCTTCAGCTGAGTGTCTCACGTGGGAAAGAGTCTCTCTGCCAGGAAACCGCTGGTCAGACAGCCTGGGTCTTGGAAGGAGCGAGTCCCCAGTGGCCAGAGCCAGCTCCCACCCACTCGCTTTTCCCTCTGGAGTCCCCTCCTCCCTGCTCTCCCCACCCCATGGGTTCCAGACGCCCTGCCTGACCATCATGGCCTTGGCTTCAGTTCCCAGCCCACTCACCCCCTGGAGGTTCACTCTGGCAGCATGTGGGTCCCAGAGCCTCCAAGGGCAGGCCTTCTTGGCCTCATCAAGTCCAGTCAGGGTTGGGCACACCCAGGGCAAGATCTCCAGGGGCAACGCAGGCCCCCCTGGTTCTCCTGGGGCTCTCAGACCTGACTGCTGACCCTTTTTAAAATTCCTTATTATCTCTATATCTAACTAACGCCCATGCTCCTGGCCCCTTGTAGGCAACCATTCAAATGTATCTTTTAAAATATCTTTTAGAGGGGCCGGCCGAGTGGCGCGATGGTTAAGAACTCGCTTGGGATGCCAGAGGGCCCCGGTTCGGATCCCACATATGAGGGCCAGTGACACTGCCCTCCACAGCTAAGATGCTGAACAACAGCTCCCCCTGGAGCTGGGCTGCCGTGAGTCGCTGGCGACGGCGTGGGCTGCAGTCCCTGTGGCAGTGGATTGCCATGGGCTACCGTGTGTGGCCAGCAGCCAGCGTGAGCGGCCAGCAGCCGCAGTGAGCGGCCGTCCAGAAGCCGGCGACTGATCTGCCTCGCCAGAGAGGAGCGCAATGATGGTGCCAACTTGGGCCAGTGAAACATCCTCCACAACTAGACTGAGGAGCAAAACGACAGCAACTTGTCTGTTCCCCTTTCCCCGATTCCCCAGCACTGTTCCCATCCCCCAATTCCCCAATAAAAATCTTAAAAAAAAAAAATATCTTTTAGAATGTTATCATTTTGTGTGCATATATTTTTAATCATGTTATTTTTTCCCCCCTCAGTTCTATGTTTTGAAGAGCCACCCACACTGCTATGTTAATGTAAATCTGCCTGCTGCGTGGTGCCCATGCTGAGCCTGCACAGTGTGTGTGTCCATGACGGACACACAGGTTGCTTTCTGCCAACACGCATGATGCTTCAGTAAACATTTATCTTCTTACATGTCCCCTGAAGGATCTGCGTAAGAATTTCCCAAGGACATAAACCCCGGAGAGAAGTTTCCACATCCTGAGGTGCGTGCACACGCTTTGGGTAGGTACCTGTATTAGTTGGCTAAGGCCGTCATAACAAAGGACCACAGCCTGGGTGGATTAAAGAACAGACATGTATTTTCTCACAGTTCTGGAGGCTGGAAGTTGGAGAGCAAGGTGTCGGCAAGGCGGGCTTTTTCTGAGGCCTCTCTTTTGTGGCTTGCAGACGGCCGCCTTTTCCCCCCGGACTTCCAGTGGTCCTTTCTCTGATGCATCTGTGTTCTAACCTCTTCTCATAAGTACACAGGCCATATTGGATTTGGGCCCACCCATATGACCTCATTTGACCTTGGTTACCCCTTTAAAGATCCTATCTCCAAATACAGTCACATTGTGAGGTACTGGGGTTCAACGTATGAATGGGGGGTGGCATAACTCAGCACCTACCGGTGGCCTTGCTCTTCAGATTGGCTGTGCACAAAGTCCTGTATCCCCCATACTCCCTCCAACACCTGGTGCCACCCAGCTTTCTAAGCTTTGCCAAATTGATAGGTGTAAGGTGCTACCTTACTGTTATGTTTTTCTCTCTATTTCTAATGATTTTAAACATCTTCATATGCTTATGAGATTCTGGTGTTTTCTGTTCTGCACATTGTCTTCTCGTTTTTCTACTGAAACTGTCGTCTTTCTTGCGGGCATACGGGCATCGCTTGTGTATTAATCCCTTATTGGGCTAAGTCATTGTAATTATCTCCTAGTATTTAACTTTGCCCATGAAATCCTTACTTGTATGTAATCAAATTCATCAATCATTGTCCCTTAAGGGTTGTGCCTGTGACATATTTTGCTTAAGAAGCACTTTTCCATCCCAGGTCACAAAGACAGTCTCCTTCATGTTCTTCGATGAACTTGATAGGATTTGCCTTGCATATCCGACCCAGCGTCGTCTCAGGGCTGACGCAGCAGAGCCAGGCAGCGCCTCCCTGCCAGGCGCACTCAGGCGGGCCCCTTCCTCTCTGAGCCTCACTCTCCCACTGGCACTGCCAAGGATGCTTGGTAGCTGTCAGGCAGCACTTCATCAGGGTTAGAGCCCGAGAAAAAGGAAGGCAATTCATCAACCTGAACTGGCACCCAGCCCTCCTGACACAGAAAAGGCACCCTTTATGGACCAAGATCCCTTTTCATTATTTGTGGGTGCTGCCAAGTGATAGACAGTACCCTGTTCCCAGCCTACAGGAAGGAGTTCTGGGCCTCACTGTCACTGGCTCCCTAGGGCAGGCCTCGGCTTCCCCAACCTGAGCCACAACGGGGCAGAACCAGATGGTACGTAAAGTAAAGGCTCTGCCAACTCCCAAATCCCAGAACTCAATAACTCCGATATTTATTTTGCAAGCCTTTGCTTTCCTCCAGATTTCATGCAGGACAGATGGCGGAGAGAAGCTCAGCGTGTGTATTCCCCAGTGTGTTTAGAGCATGATCAGGGGAGATTGGTGCGTTTGTTTCCTTTCTGGGAATTCTATCAGCTGCTACAGGAATGACCTCTGCAAAAGGGCCCCCGACCCAGTGATGTGGCTGGCAGCTGCGCCTCCTGGTGGCCATCTCGTGATGGGGCTGGTCCTGGGAGATATTAACTTCATCATGCTCAGAGGACAGACAGAAGCCTGGAGCCCAGAGCAGGGAAAGGGCCTGCCCAGGGGCACACAGCCGGCAAGAACAGAGCCTGCATGGAAGGCAGGCCTCCCAGCCCCCAGGGCAGCCCTGAGGCTGTGATTTTGGTTTTGCCAAGGTCTTCCCTGGACCCACGATTGCATTCCAGAGTCTGGGGACTAATGCTGAAGACCTTTTGAGACGTGCACCTGTCTAGACCTCATTGGACAAGAGGACCTGAATTTCACTTCTCCCAACACTTTGCCCTCCATTATGCCAGACCCAGGAAGGTGGACCCCTAATTCAGAATTTTTCACACAAATACAAACACACAAGTTAATCAGCACCTTAGATTTATTCTCCTCCCACTTCTGAAGCCACTCCATTTAATTTACATATACACAGTATATAAATGGCTAAGCAACATTCCTGACATACATCGATACAAATGTAGGCTTCACCACTGTGTGGAAGTTTGTTAAAACGTACCCAGCATTTACTCAAAATAGATCTTTGTTAATACATAAAAACAGTAAGAAGCTTGTATAACACGGACAGCAAGCACTCAAAATGAATATGTGAAATAAATGGTTTCGCCCTGGCTAAATCGGCCCCAATCTAATCCTGTTAGGAGGAAAGTCCATTAAACAAAACAGAATCCTGGGGGTCATATGAATAACTCGTTAAATACTATTTTTAGAGCAACCCCAGAATCGTATACGTATAAGGGTTAAAAGGTCATATGTGCCAAGCACAGATTAGAGGAACAGAATGGATTTGATAATTTTACCCTAAATAAAAGGCGCTTGAGGGGAACAGCTAGCTCTGCGATCGGTACACACAGCCAGATGTTTCCATATCCGGCCATTCCCAGATTCTACTAACAAGCCATTTTCCACAGGTTCCCTGCCAGTGACATTTCCCCAACAACAGAGTCTGACGTCACTGCTCCGAGAAGGGACAGACCTTGAGGGTTGGTCCCTGGCCCCGTAGGGTAGGCCTCCAACCCAACCAGCAGAACCGACCTCCCTGGGTCCAGGAGGACCCAAAGCCGATGGAGCCGAGGGCTCTGTGCCTGGAGGCAGGAGGCAGGAGGAAGAGAGGCCACGGCCTTTCTGGCGTGAAAGGATGAGGCAATTGACACCGCAGTATCATCAGATGCCCTTTCTCATCAAGGCCAGAAGACATGGCTGTGCTGTGCTGCCTGAGCTCACAGAACCTCGGCGCAGCGGGTGCGCTCACAGCCTTCCCCCTGCACACGAACAGCGGGTTCACCCAGTATCCCCCCCACCAGGCTCTTGTTCTCATGACAGCATGACAGGGATGCTGTCCCCGTTTCTCAGATGAGGACACTGGGGCGGATGGGCGGTGCCGGGCGGAGCATTAGAGCCAACCCAGGCCTCCCAGCCAGCTGAGCAGTGCACTCCCCGCCCCTTCCTCTCTCAAGGGCACATCCGCTCTGGCTTCCTCCACCATGATGAACACTCCCCGCGCACAGGTGGAGCCTCCCTGTACCTGGGCAGGACTCTGTCGGAACAACTGGAATGAGCAACCTCAGAGCGGGGACACCGTCTGGTCGCCGTCAACACTCCCATCCCTGCTGGCCCTCACCTGTGCTGCCCTGTACAGGCAGCAGGTTCTCTGGGGCCACCTGTCCCACATGTCACAATGAACGGCCGACTCCTTCGAGGAACGGCAAATGGCAGCCCCCATGCCAAGGGGCAGCTGCTACCTTCCAGCAGACAGGGGACCCCCAGCTCCGCTCCCCACCCAGCCTCTGCTTCCGGCACCCCAAACAGCCTGCCTGCTGGCTGCCATCTTTGAAGCTGAGCCGTGCTGACCACCAAAGTGCCACTTCCCCCGGACCCGCCTGCCAGGTGTGTGCTGAAGCTCCTGGCACAGGGGGCGACGGCTGGGCCTCAGTGCCATCTGGCCACTCTCTGAAGCTCCTGTACCCACCCTACGGACACAATTAAAGTGGCTTTCCCACCCCCCCCAGACATTGCAGTTCCAGCCTCTGTTCCCAGGGTTGGAGTGTGTGGGGCAGAGGTGGAAAGAGGCAGGGGAGACCAGAACGGGGCGTGTAGGAGAACAGGAGCTCAAGGTGAGGCTGATAGAAACGGCCACTGAATGTTTTCATCTCAGCACTGCTGGCGCCACCGCGGTTCCCACCCTGTAAGGAACTTTGAAGCGTTGGGCCTTGATTCACAATGCCTGACAACAGAGTTCACAGATAATGGGGGACAAGCCTGGGAAGCCAAGCCAGGAGGCGACGATGGTCCCATTCCTGCTGCAGGCAGTGGGGCCTCTAGTACAGGGAGGGAACACCACCCTAAATAGGCCCTGGCTGACCCCATCCAGGACAAAGAACCCCAGGAAAGGTCCTCCTCACGTACGTCACATACTAGTAGCCTAGAGACAAGGAGCCCGAGTGTGCGTCTCCTTCACTAGCGTACTTGGGGGCGGGGGGCCCTGCTCACGAGCACTGGTCCACGAGATGGGACATGACACGCTCCGATGCTCCAGGTCTTGCAGCACCTGGTACCAGAAGGCACTTTCACGGTTTTGATTTCATCTATTCCCAGATCTAGCCCTGTGAGGTGGGTTGGGCAGCGAGCATTTCAGCACTGGGGAAACTCTGGTGCTGGCTCGGCAATGCATCCGTGGTGGGTGCGGACAACTCCTGCGATGGGGAGCTAGCTTTCTGGCACTGAGGGTGACAACAAGAGGCCACAAACCTCCAGGCCTGGACCAAGTCAACGCTGAGCCCGGGATTCCCCTCGGAAAAAGTCTCCAGAACGCCTTCCCTATCACTCATTTCTTCCTCCAGTGAGCTGAGGCCTCTTTCTGCTGGATTTCAGTTCATTAAACAATGTTTATGTGGCTGTGATTTTGTCCTGCTTGCCTAGTGCATCTTTTCCCTTTTGTTTGCAAAAGTAAATCTCAAACCCCAAGTAGATGGTAAAGCTGATTAAGACCACATACAACCAAGTGTGGACAGCGCAGAAAGCATTCCCCAGGAGGGGGTCCTCTTCAAGGGCTGTTCTTCACTTCTTGCTGAATGTGGGTCACAGGCTCAGACCCCCAGAGCATCTGGGGTACATGGCTACACGGCAACACCAATAGCACATGGGCTTGAAAAGGAAACAATTGTTTGTAAGTTGCTCTTACCAACTTTTAAAGCTTTTTTGTGCTTCTACTGTAAAAGGACTGTCTCCCCCTCCAATGGCTTCCCATTATATTTTACCATCTCTTCGAAATTACCTCCCAGAAAGCCTGAACATTCACCTGCTGCGGATGCAGAAAACTATGCAGATGCAAAGTCAACAGAGAGACAATTTGGAAATTTCCATCTGAGGATGTTGCCAATAGAACTTTCATATTCAGGTATTTTACTTGATTAAAAATAGAAAATTCTATTATAAGAAAATAAAATGACTGTGGCAACATTTACCCAACAGTACCCAGTCACATGACTTGTTTTTCTTAAAGTGACACCAAGGTAGCTCAGTAACAATACACCACCAGTAATAACCAAGCACAACTGAATTCCCCGAAACAATCTTCTTGCTTTCCTCCCATGCTCAAAAACTCTTGCAATCAATGGTTTTCAACTTTTACAAACTATCAAACTAGGACTTGTTAATTTTTCAAGACTACATAATTCAACCCCAAGTATACCATGCAATTGTGACTGAGGTATTTGGATTCCAAACTTCTAGAATGTCTAACTATTCGGATTCCAGAACAATCCAAAATGGATTGTTCCCCGAAATGGCCTCCTGAATGGAACCGGACAACCTAGGCTGCAATTTCCAGAGACCTCAGGGATCGGATTCACGTCCACATTTTGGGAAACTATGATCAATCAATATTTTGACAATGAAAGAAAGAAAAATAACTTTTCAGGGCACAGGGTTAATTATATCTTATAAAGCTTTAAAAAAGTTAATACCTACTTAACGCTTGTTCATAAAAAATGAGGCCATTGATCTCATTAAGACGATTGGGAAAGGTGTAGAGGAATGATTAATTTGGGACGTCTTCTGGGAACAGGTACATGGGGTCAAGTATTCACCATCATTAAAATGACAGGCACTTGGCTGCCATGTACAAGGCTGATGACAGCAGCCTCCTCCACCTGTGTCTGTAAAGTGACACTGTGAGTCCACGTGACTCACCTACTCCAGTCTGTGGCCCAATGTAAGGAATCCTGAAATACTCATTTCTGCTCATGCTTATAAGCCTACAATCCAGTAGAATTGGTTACTCAATTTTTAAAATATTCAGATATACCCTGCAAATAAATACAAAACATTTCTGTACCCATACAGTCCCACCACTATCAAAGGTCATATATAAATTAAATAAACTCAGCTTTCTTAGCCATTTTCTCAGCTTAAGTCTGTCCTTACCCTAAATGAAGACAAGCTCAATTCATATCCAAAATATATTTAAATATTCTCAAGGTATCGTATTGAGCCTAAGTTATCAAAAAATGTAAACAAAATTTACCTTGCTTATATTTACGAACCATATTTTGAAGTTTTCAATTTACCCTGTACTGACCCTCTAAAAAAACTAACCAAGTCACACTTGTACTGAAAAGCTGATATGGATTTCAAAGTGGTTTCAGACAACTGCCAATTACTAAAACTAGTATTATCGAATCTAGTGGTTTATTGCATCATTCAATTTAAAAGACCAAAATAGTTCTGATCTGCCAATAATGCCTTTCTGAACGAGCCCCCAGCGTCTGCCATCCTAAGGATGTGTGCCAAACTGGAGATCCTGCAGAAACACTCAGCACAGAACAGCGACTGGGGATCAAGCGACCGCATACCCTCAACTGCACCTGTTCCAAGTCCCCAAGTCTCGGTTTCAGTCCAGTTTGGTCGAAATGAACTTCAAGCATGGAAACCTGAGGTGAGGTCGAGAAGCCAAAAGAGAAACACAGATGACCCTCAGAAGAAGATGGAAGGATCCAATCCTCACACGAAGCCACCCTCACACGCCACAGTCGGACTGCTTCTCCTGAAGCTGCCTCGTCAGTATCTGATGTGAAGACAGAAAAGCCACTCCTACGTGGAAGAGGATCTGCCAGAGGTTCCTCAGCCCGTGCAGGTACACGTTGCCCAGGCAAATGAAGAGCAGCATCAGCACCACCTTCGTCGTCCTGGCTGGACTGTAGAACAGGTACAGGTAACACTGAAATGACACCAGAAAGGGAAGTCCCTTCAGAGACAGCAAATGGCTGCGAGGTAGAACAGATGCGAGATTCACCTCTCACACCTGCCGTGCACAGTGCCAGCCCACGCCCACTGGCTGATCACACGGAATTCATTACCATGCAGGTTGGACTCGCTGGTTAAGTCACTGTTAATCCCTGGATGAAAGCGGAGATTTGGGAAAGAAGAAGAGTGAAAAGTAGGTGCCACAGGAGGAATGAGAACACGGCCCTCGTGAAAGAGGTTTAGGAAATACAGACAGAAATGCCCCAGCTGCAGGCTGCAGAGAAAGAAGAGATGGGAAAGAAAGAAGGAAGGGTAAGGGGCAGAAAGCCAGGCCGGAGCACCCTCACCACACTGACTGGCCTCCAAATGGATTTTTCCTTCAGGGCGTCATGACAGGTGAGAAAGCCAGTGAGAAGCTGGGCTTTTGCTATTTTCGTTTTTCAGAGTTACAACGACACAGGGGACCGCTGTTCCCTAGACACCTCTCTACTGGTGTCTTGGAAAGCATCTCGGAGATAGGGCAAGGTCTCACAGTGGGGACAGTGACTGATATTTTGTGTAGGGCTCTCACAGAAAAAAGAGGCCATTCTTATTCTACAAAAGGTAAAAATGCCTTTTTGATTCCATGTTTAAACAATTAAAAAGCACATTCTCAAAACACAGAGCAATCCAACAAAGGCTCAGCTAGTGTTGGGGAGCAAGTTCCCACCAAAAGAGTCATCCAGTAAGAAAGCACTTGCAGGAACACAGGTGGAACTGTGAGGTCCCCTGCAGCCCTGACATGCAGCTCCAGGAAACTCCCACTGGCAACTGGTTTTGGAGGCTTGTTCCTAAAAAATGAGCGCATTTTCAATCTTGGGGGTTTTTTGCACAATCATGCAATTCTTGTAATTCTTAAAAACAGACCATTCTCAAATGTATATGGAAGGGAGAGGATGTGCCTTGAGAACAGAAATTTTAATTAAAAAAAAAAAAAAAAAAGCTTACGCATGCAGAGAAAGTACTAACATCCTAGCCCATGTGGGACGAGGAAAGAAAATCAGAGCCAGGCTCTGAACAGAGTTAACTCTGCCGATAGGGGATACAAACCTCCTTTTTACCCCACCCCTTATGTCTGCAGCTTATTTGAAAATAACTGAATAATCATCAACACTCTGTAGCTACTGTTATAATTTTTGTTTCATTTCCTAAGAACAGATTTGAGTCAGATGGTATTACCACTAAAAACAATTCTTTACCTAATCCTCAGTTTAAAAATCACATATACATAGATGTGACTTCTGCAGAAGGACTTTCCTGTACTTGGGCTGCCCGACGATAAGACAAGACCCTGCCTCACAGGAGTCAGGCCCAACCCAATCCCTGCTGCAAACTCCTCCCCCATTCTTGGGAGTCAGTTCCAAATTCCTGGTTTCTGTTCCGCCACTGTCACAGGTGCTGTGGCCTAGGGCAAGTGGCTTTCCCTTTCTGAGCCCCCAAAGTGAGAGGACTGGGCAGGGTGGGCTTAGTCCTACCACTAGGGACTTGGTACTGAACCAAGGCCTTCGTGGCACAAAAAGAAGGTCTAGAAACTTGTCGCTGGTTCTAAAAGAACAAAAGAAGGCCATGGGCTTAATCCACTCACCAAAATATGCACGTTTTCACCTACCTGGAAAATGCAGGCTACAAAAGGAATAAGAAAAGCCAGAATATTTCCAATTTCCTCATGGGCAACCTAAAATGAATTGAGGAACACAAGAAAAAGACTATTTAGATGAAACACTAGGACACGAAGCACTTGACACCTCCATCGGTCTAGTACGGTGGACAGTACAACATCCCTGGCTGGTTGAGACACACGTCCCTGTTTATATAGCAGAACGGGGGTTGATATGAAATCGCTTCCGATGCCCAGACACCCCAGGGGCCCTGCTGTCTCCACCCATCTGTGCTAAACCCCCACAACCCAGCTACCTCTCGAAATCCTACCCATCTGTAAGCTTTCCCTAATTCCTCCCATGCCCAGGTACTGCCACCTCCTCAGTGATGCCACCACACAAGGCAGGGACTGTGTCTTAACCATCTCACTGGCCAGACATCTGTATGTGTATAGACACTTGGTAAGTACCCGAAATCGTAATCAACACGAGTAGGAACCACACCACACACTGGCCAAAGACAGGGTGTGGTGATGGGCTGTCACTGCTCTGCCTCAACAGGTCCGTCTACACCAGTCTCCTGAGATTAAAGACCAGACGTGCTGCAGACTTCAGTCACCACGAACATGGGTGTGAGCATCATAGTTCTCTTTAAAAGTAATATCTATCTCTTTATGCTCAGGATGGTTCTGTATTTTTCTTTAAGTGATTGAAATACTTTAAAATTTAAAGAAAACCCAATATTTAAAAAGCATTGAAACAGAAAGATGCTCTGAGAGGAGCAGGCTGGAAAATCAACTTCCTAGTGATACAGTTTTTGACAAAGACACAGAGAAGGTGGTATCTGTCTGCATGATACAAATCAGACTATGAGGCAACTTTCCCAGGGAAAAAACGAGCTTGAACCTTAATGCCTACAATCCAGCCTCTGCCCTGGGTGAATAACCCAGCTCTGCAGTGACTTCTGAGGGCTATGGGGCCTCAGGGTGGCCAGATGTCCTTGGAGCAAGGGTCCATTTCTCAACAATATCCCACCGGGCCCCTCTGGCTTCTAAGGAAAACAGACGCAAAAGGGCAAGTTTCCTATTTGTTCAACTTACTACAAAAAAACAAAATTAGAACTACAAAGTTTATTTGAACGTGAAGACCTTCGTACATAACAACGTCAGAATAAAATGTGTCCCCATCAGTTGCTTCCACCACGCGTCCTTCAATTTAAACTGTAAAGAAAAGGTTACCTGTAAAGAATGTTCTGCGAGGTGGATTCCACGAATGAGATTCAGAGCAGCACACATGATATTGAGAATAAGGGACAGGATACCCAGGGCTGTCACTGGTTCCATTCGGAAATTGGGAGCTTCACAATAAAAAAAAAACTAATAAGTGTCTAGTAACGAAATGTCTATATGAAAGAAAAATAAACAAAGACATTAACTAGACCTCAACTAATGCTAAGTTATGCTAAACACACAAATGTTAATTTAAAAAGCAGCTGTAGTTAGAGCGGAGTGGGCGGGTGGGAAGGCAAGACGTGAAGGAAAGAATGGATCTGGGAATCCGAGGTGAGTTCCTTCCAGAAAGTGACCCTTTTCTCAGCAAGCACAGGTTTTTCAAGTGTTCGATTTCCTTTCCATTTAAAGCAGTGATCCTCAGCCAGAGGCAATATGGCCCCTCAACGGACATGTGGCAACGTCTAGAGACATTTCGGTTTGTCACAACTGGGGCCAGGGTGCTCCCGGCATCTACTGGGTAGCGGCCATGAGTGCCTCTAAACATCCTACAATGCACACGTTGGCCCCCACAACAAAGAATTATCCAGTACAAAATGTCAATAGGGTTGAGAAATCCTGATTTAAAGCAATTTGTGGTCATATTTGTAAATTAATTGTCAATTACTTCAACCCTCAGCTTGTAAAATGCTCCACTCTTTTTCTGACAAGGACAATATTCAGTGTCATATGTGCTTCTAGAGCAAGTCACAGCAAATGTTAATTTGTAAAATTCAAAAATTATTGGGAATAGGAGGGAAACACTGATAATTTAAGCTACAAGCTGTTTCTGGAACTCTAATCAGAACAAAATGATCATTCTCTAATTAAAGATAACAATGAAAGATAATTGATTCTGGTTCATAGAATTAAATGGTATCTCACCCATTTTCTTGCTATGCTCTTTTTAAGTCATCCTTTCTTGTCTTTACATTTCTCTCTCTCTCTCTCTCTCTCTCTCTCTCTCTCTCTCTCACACACACACACACACACACACACACACACACACACACAAACCGCAACCCGACTGATGCCTACTAGTGTGTCAGTTTCCACTGAGCAATTCTAAGTTCCTGTCAGAACAGAACGTGCCACCTGAAAGACTCTAGCCTCAGGACAATAACGTGGGTCAAACTACACTAAATGTAAAATGTCCTAGAAAGACAGGCAAGGTGACACTTTCTGGATTTGCTCCTGTTGTCTAAGTGGTAAAAAAACAAAACATATATTACAAAGCTACCCCACCTTCAGACGTGGGAAAGGAGAAGCCTGGGGTTCAACTACCCCCAGTCTTCCTTCCACGTTAAGTCCATTCCTTAACTCACAGGAATGAGTTAAGCTCATTCCTGACAAATTACAACAATTTACTGACTAGCATAAAAGCCAATCCAGGAACTTATTGGTTGAAACAGGTTAAATCAAAACACAAAGTTAAGCAACAAACATGTACATTTTTAATACGCCACTTTTAAAATTCAAGCAATGGGTTTAGAATAAAACAGTTAAAATAATTAGATCGTTATAGTATAGACAGGTCTATCTTTCAGAGAGGAATTCAGCTCTACACCATCACGAAATTCTTACAATGTAAATATCCATTTTAATTAAAAATTGGTTTAATTGTGTACCAATTAATTGTGTAAACAAGGGATGCCAAAAATCACGCTTTGTTTGTGCTAGGCATTGAGTGGCTAATGCCGGATTAAGTCACAGAATGTGGGGGCACTGTGATCAAGTTCATTAACACCTCATTATTCAGATAAGGATTTGGAAACCCACAGGGATAGAGGGATGTCCCCAGGTGTCACAGAGAGCCAGAGAGAGAGAGCACACTAGCAGCCCTGGCTCTGGTCCCTGCCCACACTCATCCCACCGCCCCCCCCGCCTCCATCAAGGAGGGCAGGGGTCTCTCAGTGAAAATTTGCAGTTTCACTAAGTAATGAGATAAGATAAGGATTCATTGTCAAAGGAAAAAAGATAGATGATAG